AATCATTCCACAAAAATTACATTTCATTCCATAATGAAGTCATAATCCAATTATAATTCATAATTATAGATATCAGTTTTGAAGTCAACATTTTACTCAACTCTTTACATAAAAATCTTCTTTTAAAATGATTATCTAATGTGCATTCTCTTAGTTCTTCTTAAGTACTCTTAGAATGTTCTCAAAGTCATCCAATGATTTACCCATGTATTCAATGAGTATCTGATGATATGTTCATAGATTAATCATATACCTAGTCTTGGGCATAATATGACATAAATTATGGATTTATTTTCCAAGTAAATAGAATATAAATCATTTATCTAGCTCACACCTATGTTCTAGGTCATTTTGAGGCTAGCTCAAAATGGTCCTTTTGAGGCTACCTCTTTCAAGATATTATTAATTTATGCAAAAGAATTTAAAACTTTTAAACATTCATCTTTATCTATCTCTATATATTTCATATTCCATGAATGTATCTTATCATTCCTAAGTCTTTCATTTTAGAAACACGTTCCAAGTTAAGGTGAAATGACCTTGCCTAGACGAAATCTTATGTCAAACGATTAAGTATGTCTCATTCATACACGATTAGGAATATCACTATCCTCCCACTAGTTCTTAATAAACACAAATGTTATCTCCAATTTGATATAAAATCATACCTTGTGTTTTCATATTAAAATGATGATTCCAGCCTTGAGATGTTTTCTTTATATCTACAAGTGGATCATTAGCCTTACACATTTTGTTAGGATAACATAGATTAAGAAAACCTCTAGGCTAAGTTATATAGATATATTCTAGTAGATGTCTATTTAAGAAAAGTCGTCTTTCTTGAAATCTATTTGCTATATCTCATATTAAGAATATGAAGTTATAGTAAGTAATATCCATGTTGATCTATTCATAACTACTTGTGAAAAGGTTTCATCATATTCAATGTTACGAGAGTGATAAGGACAACAGTCAATGACATAAGTATGAGAAATTCCTTTTATAACATGCCTTGCTAAATGTGTATGATATCCATGTATGTATTATTTCTAAAAGAATCTCTTACTCCTTTTAGCCTTGCTATATAGAGAAAGATTAATAAAGCTCATACTTGATTATTAGACATAGATTACATCTCAATGTTAATGACTCTAAGTTATTTATAGAATTTTGGTGGTTGATGGATTTTCCAGAAACCATTCATAATTCATTAATGAGAGATTCTATATTTCCCAATTCATATAAGATTTCTACTAATAATACGAACACTTTGTGTTTTTAAATAGTTATTATTCATGTTTAATAATTCATTGTTAAAACTAGTGCAACAATTGCTACATCCGGGTATGGCTCTTGAGCTTCTTCAAGATCCATGTGCCTCCCATTTTCTATGCCATTTGAACCTTTCTTTATGCTAACTTAACATTCACAAGAGTTAGAGAACATACTCTTAGTGGGTTTGTATATAATAATCTAAATTCCCTTTTAAAATATTCTACAAACATGTAGTTTGTTGGTGTTTGTATTCAAGATACAATTAATAGTGATTGACAGATAATCCCCAAAATATTAAAGGATGATATTTCTACTATTAGTAAGTAAACTATATCAAGTAAATTTTAATTCATCATTTATAATCACTAAGGGATGGTATTACTGGCTTGTATTTCAACTTTATATTTGAAATATTCAATCAAGATTGCACAATTTATGTTTTACCATGTAATATATAATTATAAGTACTATAGTTGTTAATAAAGTTGATTGATATCTTGCATTAAAACTTCGACATTCACTAGAAAGGAAATTATACATCATAGTGTGTAGTTCTTTAATAATTATTTCTTCTACAAATTAGTGAAAATATTATTAGGAATCCTTTATATATAAATAGTTTTCACATATGTTAAATAAACTACATAATTTGCCTTCAGATATCCCTTTCTTGAAGTTGGAATATGTGTGTTTCATTTATATCATAAAGATAACAATGTCATAAATAAGTTAATTTAAAACAAGTTTAAGTCAAAAGTTTTTGAATATAGAACTTAATTTTATTTATTAAAATATTGATATTTACTTTAGAATTTTATTAAGAGATCTAGTCTCATAAATAGAAGTTAATCATTTCAGAATATGAATATTATCGTTATGAAAAATGATCAAGTAAATAATCAAACATTTAAATAATATAAGTGAGACATATATATATATATATATATATATATATATATATATATATATATATATATATATATATATATAGACATGCTAAATTTAAAATATATATTGTTCCAAAACAAACATTGTTTTATATTACAAGTAATTTATGCCCTGAGCATAAATAATAAACTAAACTCCGAGAGTGTAGGTCTAACTTGCTTGTACTCAATTGGTTACTCTTATGAAAATATCTTCAAGCCATTTACAAATATTAGATTAACATTAAGTACCAAGTACTTGAGTGTTATATGAAAAGTATGGGTTCAATCTAGTAGATACATAAAGTACTAGTCTCTTCCAAACTCTTTTTTTAAAGATAAGAGGAGTAATTCTTCTTCTAGTGTCCAGTTTCTCCATAAATAATTAAACAATATATGTGGGCCTTCTTGGATTTCTTGAACTTAAAGGTGTTCAGTCCATAAAACATGGTCCTCTTAGATCACACAAAGTGGCTCCTTTCAGCCTTGCATTATTCCATTGTTTAACCTTGTTTAAAAAATTATCATTGTATTTATTAGAATATTGCTTAACCTGTTATATTATCACACACACACACACATACATATATATATATATATATATATATATATATATATATATATATATATATATATATATAAATTGTCCGAGAGTTCCTGTAAATCTGGGATAACTTGTTTCTAGTATCATGTTAGAAGCATCTTCAACATCACAATGATTCCTTTACTAGGTATCATGCCCGTGTCTATTGCTCAGAGCAGGTTGTTTAAGACCAGGACTTTTAAATGTGTATAATTTCACATCTCTCACAAGATTGTCTCTCAAGACATGAACCCATTCATTGAATTTGTATCTATTGAATGTTATTGGTTTAGTAAGTCATGTAATGAGAATAACAATTCATGGTTATGAGAGTGAATTATTATATATAAAAAAAATTAACAAAATTCATTTAGTATTTTCAATATTTAATCTTTAATAATTAATATCCTTTTAGTTTCCAAAAACATTAATCATCAAAGTCTAGGATCCAAGTTGCAAAACAAAAAAATGTTTAAGTATCCTTTATCCCATTCATTTGAATCCAACCTAATAGATATCGATTATCAATTATATTCTACTATATAATTCCTAGATTTATGGGATTGCTAACAACAAAATTTAATTAGACATGTTTGATCACATCTATGCCTCAAAACTCAATTGCTTAGGTATCCTTTATCAGAAAAGATTTACGATTGAATCATCCAATTTGAACAACTTGTGTATTAGCCTATAACATGGTTATAGAAATTGCGGAAACACCCCGACCATCAAAATATAACATTAAGCGGTTAGGTATCCTTTATCCCACTAGTTTAAAATGGATTGCATAGATTTGAGGTTTGTAAAGGGTCTTTGCTGTTTCATAAATCTAGTTTAAATACATATTATATCATGGTTATTGCATGCATCCAATAAGCCATGGAATGCGTTAAAAATCTTATTTTATGTAAAATCACATTTTAACAATGTTCTTTTATAAAACCCGATTTTATATAATTGACGCGATCAAATTTAAATTAGCTAGTATTAAGTTTGGTGTTTGAACGTTTTAGAACATTTGTAAACCTTTTAATAAAATTTTCTTTTTATAAGGTTTTGGAGTATGATAATTTTATAAATCTCTATTTTAAACTTATATAATTTTAATCATGAAATTTTACCGGTTTTAGTTTTAATAAATAGAGTTTGTTTTATTTTAAAACTATTTTTACCGTCTTATGTTAAAAGCTAATTTTCATTAAAATCAAACTCCTTTATGATGTTTATTTATGTTCAAATATTATTTTGTATTTGAAAAACTAATTTATCAACCATAACATAATAATAAGTTAATAACAACATAAATATAAAACAACACAAACACATTAAAAAACATATGTGCATAAACTAACCATCTAATGGTATTTTGTGAGTCATCACAAAATTCAAAGTCCATTCCTAAAAGGACATTTAAAGGGACCAAATTTTTTTATAGTAATGTTGTTGTAGAAGTTCTCACTTGATAAAACACTTATTGTTTGCCAAAAAGTTGAAAGAATTCTTGAAGGGTAATATTTCAACAACATGCAACACTTTTAAGAAAGATTGCAAAAAGTGTTACATTAGGACTAGTATCTCAAAAGGAATTTGTCATCAACAACACTTTATAGCAACGGTTAGTAAAAAAGGTGCAACAACCCCTACACACTTCAATTTTGCGAAAATCACTCTGTTGATCTTCAAAAATGGCTTCATCTTCATTTCTTGTTACATTTTTGTATAAAATAAATTATTCATAAAACTAATCTATTGCTTACAAAAGTAATCAAAGAAAACTAATCTATTTAATTATTACGTACCATATGAATAAAGAAATATTACAATCACTACTAGAAAAACAGCCTTTTACGACGCTCATTGCGCGTCGTAAAACGCTCAGACGACGCGCAAATGCGCATCAAGAAAGGCCCTGTCATAAAGACAGACAACGCGCGGTTTATGACACGCAATGCATATCAAGGAAGGCCCTGTCATAAAGGAAGACGACACGCATTTGCGTGTCGTAACCTTACGACGCGCGTGTTTATGACATGCAATGAGTACCAAGGAAGGCCCTGTCAAGAAAAGTCCTGTGATAAATGAAGATGACACACATTTTTGCGTATCATAAGTTTAAATGTTAAAAAAAATATTATTTACATATTTACTAATTTTAAAACTAAATTTACATTTAATGTCTCATAACAGAAAATAAAATACCATATACAAAAAATACAATCCATTGCATAAAATTTATTGTCATTCAAATAACAAACTTTATTTTATATTCATACATATGATTACATTAATATTCATTAAAAAAAACATATACCTACATCTTCCCCTAAAATGTTATTACATGATGTTGGCCACTTCATTGATGGATCACCAAGAGGAAAACCAACAACTGCCCTAAAATGTTCCATGATGTGCCCATACTCATGTTCTGTAACTTTAAACATTTAATAAAGTAAATACCTCCTAAAAATAAAATTGCACAAGAAACAACAAATCATAATAAGAATTTACTAAAATGAATGGAAGAAGTACACTATAAATATGTTTTACCAAGAGTAGCATGGACGATCAGGTGCTACAAAGTTTTTCCAAGCTACCAAACAAAGACTGCATGCAAACCAAAACATACATACACTATAAATTTAATTACCATACAAATCATATTCATACATACGATCGTATGGACATGGACAATGGGCTTAAAACAGAACAATATGACATGGACATGATGGATACAGATTCGAATGAACTTACCCCAAAAGATTGTGCTTCTGTAATCTCAACCACCTCTATATATGAAAACCCTACAACCAACAGTTTACGCTTAAAAGAAGATTTCATCTGCAAAATCGTCAAACAAGATTATTAGTATAGTCTATAATCATAGAACCTAAAATACCCTTTGCATAATTTCTAATATTGTTCTTTATTTTATTTTCAAGGTGCGATTTATAGGGGAGCAATCTCAGCAAACCCAATTTACTTTAAGGACTCAATAATCACAATATTATAACCAACAAAGTTACAACTTCAAAGAGACATTTGATCAAATGGGTTGTGTGCATATGTTCTTACATGGCCTAAAGATGTTGCAGCCATATGTTCAGGACTGATGTCTGAATTTTTTGTTTTTTTGAAATACGAACACCATCAAATAAAAATAATTGAATCTTTTTATTTTTTAGTGATTAATAAAATGGCAAAACTATTATTACCTTGATATTCCAGCCACTACACGCAATGTCATAAATAAAAACAATCATGTCCAAACTCCAGCAAGACCAAATTGAGGAACAACAAGAAAAAAGAACAAACAAGTTCCTAATTCAATCACTACCTTCAAATTAAACATCAACCACCCAAATAAATATATATTTTTTTAAATACAAAAAGAGGTTTCGGATAATTGTATAAAAATAGAAAACACACCATGGAATATGAAGCATATCCAAAATCCAAAACTCCATAGTATAGCCCATCAAGAACAAATGCTATAGCATTCATCGGTTGAGATGCAGCTACAAACTATATTATAATTTTTTTTAATGAAAGAAAAATTACTAAAAGGTCCTTGAATATAAAAATAATTATAAAATACGTTTCTTACCAAAGTGCTAGATCTTGCAATATTTAGAACTTGTGAATCTGTGGTAAATAAGGAAGATAGCTGCCCAAACCCTAAGAACAACACAAAAGCCAAGCTACCTCCAGATATTAATCCAATCTAATCAAAAACCAAAAATTTGGATTATTTTATTAGCAATATAATTTTTGTAAGTTAAATTAAAAAGCAAAAAAGCATAATATATATATATATATATATATATATATATATATATATATATATATATATATATATATATATATATATCCTTAACCTTAAGAACTCTGTCTATTACTCTGCGTGCTTCACCATAGTTCTTTTGTGAGTAACTACTTGCAAGAATTGCCTACAAAACAACATAATCAGACAACTACAGTAGGCAAAGAAAGAGCCAACCAAACTTCTAAACAGATCTGATAAGCAGCCATGGGAATAGAACCTTCTCTTGCAGCTATTGATGTAGATAAAGTCATAGTTACAAGAACAACAAAACTCCTCCACATTAAAAGCAACCCTGGTTGAAAATGGAGGTTGATGTCACTTGTACAACATCAAATTCCATCCATTCCACCCATTTCCTTTCCAGCCATTCCACCTATGTTCACATTTTTGGTGAATCCAAAGTCCAAAGTCCAAATATCTCCCCTCACAGTGTTGAGAGAAAAGTCTTGAAGTGATTATGTAAATGAAAATGAAATCAACTTCAAATAGGACCTGATATACATAAGAGTAGGGTTATATATGTTGTATTCCAACACACTTTTGTGTCATGTCTCACTTATTTTATTATTATTAACATGATTTAACTATATCATGAGTTTTCAAATAGATTTGTCAAAGTCAAATATTTAATGCTGAAGTTAGGTTACATGTTTGACTCTTATACGCCCAACCCACAATATCAATAATGTCTCCATGCAAACTGCAATGGTAGCATGATCGGATAGTTGACTTTGTCTTCAGAAAGCCAAATGAGGCAAAAATGACGAATATTATACTCCATATATATCATGTGATTTAACAATATGCATTCTTATAAAAAATGTATCTTGGGGACAATCCAAGCGACTGATATAGAAAAACTAAAAACCTCCTTGTGTAGAGGTAAATCAAGGACTTGGCCATAAGATTCAGATAACTTATGTTGAAATCTCTCTAGTTTTTCCGTGAATAGTAAAACCCTCTTTACTTTTGTTCGCATGTTGAAATCTTTTAAGTGTGTGTTTGTTGTTAAAAAAAACCTAAGAAACGACAGGTTAGCATTTTATATAGTTTATGATCAGGAATGGGATTTGAATGGAGAAGTAAGAGTGTGAATGTTTATATATTTACATAGAATTAGATTTGAGTTGAGAAATAAAAATCAAGAAGAAAGGGATGTCAACAACCAAAGGACAGTGTGAGAAGTAATAGCAAGAAGAAACCAAGCAAGAAACGCAAAAGCAATGTTTTTGCAATACTCAGAGTCTCTGTCCAACAAAACCATCACTCCAGCTGAAGATGATGAAGCAGCAAGTGCAAGTATCGCAGTCACCTGAATTTCAACAAAATATTCCCTCATTGAGTATACCATACCTAATTTTTTCAATTTCCTCCCAAAATATTATGTTTTGGTTCCAGCCATTCCACCCATGTTCACACGATTGCATTCCAACCAAGTTCAACAGCCAATTACAAACCCTGTTATATAATTCCATTCCAACCAAACCTTATCATCCAGGAAGATATGTTAAATGGGACAACATTAAAAGGGAGATATATTAAAATGAACATGGGTCCTTCTTGAGTATAAATTGCCTCTTTCTTTTTTACATTAAGTCAAAAGAAAACTTATCGGTACTAAACCAAACAAGAAAACTCATTACTGTTTGCAGATGAAAAGTAAAAGATAAAAATACCATATTTTAAGCATAAGAGTTGGTATAGTAGTAGCGCATGTAAAACTTACGTTATAGGATACGATTCAAGATAGGACTCTAATTGATACAGAAGAGAAGAAGGGTCCGAGTAGCTAGATGTAATTTCTTCACTCATGATTTGAGGACTAACAGCTTGGCTCTAATATTAGGCACCAGGGGCATTTTTGTCCGCAAAAAAAGTCTCATGATTTAAAGGACTAACAGCAATTAGCCATGTCAAAGAAAGCTTGAAGCTTCAATGCCCTTCTCTAGTACATCATCCCTCTAGTTGAACTGGTGGATAAAGGAAAAGGTAGTGTTTACCGGGTGCGCCTATCAGATCCCACCACAACAGCTCCGCCGACTACTACCTCTTGGATAAAACTGAAATAACACAACAAAAGCTCCATAACATAAAAGCCAAAAGGAAGCTCCACATTTAAGCGGTACAGACACCAAAATTTAAATCCGTAAAAACCAACAGCTTGGAAATAAATTTTATAAAAAAAAAAAGGCGACACAACTTTTATTACAAAAAGAAAAGAAAAACCTTGCGAACACGCAAGCAAAAACCGAATAAGCATGACTACGTTAAATCATTAATGAACAAGAAAAAAGACATGAGGTTAGAAGTTTAGTGTAAATTTACGAATTTACCCCTACTGTGATAAACAACACTTGAAAATAAAAAGTTCATTGATAATGCCCCATAGATATGCCATAATTCAGTGTATTCATAGAAAGTTTGTCTGTTTGGCCTTAAAGGGAGCTTGTAATTCACAAGAATGAAGAAGGATACCCATCCATGAAATTGAACAGCAAGATTAAGAGCAGAAAGTGCCACAGACATAGCTTCCTGAAATCAAGATTCAAGAATCAAGAATGAATAACTATCAAAGAGTTGACGTAAAGTAGAAGAATTTGAGGCACCTCATTCCTAAAGGCACATCTGAGTGGCCATTTTCCATGATATTTGACAGTTCTATCGACAGCTGTCTCTCTTTCTTTCATGATTAACTTAATCAAAGGTAAGGTATGAGCATAGTTCCACCACCATCTATAAATTAAGAAAATAAATATGAATAAATCTTTCAAACCTTCAGTTAAGCTGTTCACCAATAAAAAAAAAAAAAAAAAATTATAGTATTTTGCAACCAAACCTTAGTTGAATTGTACTTACATGGTATTGGTTAAGAAGATGGATCGGCTTTTTGACCACAAAAATACATCGGATGTAGCTGAGAAGGTGAGCCCGAGTAGCAGTTCAGATACCACAAGCAAGACTGCTACAAAAACTATAAACTGTAACATAGATAGGTAAAAATTGAACTTCTGAAACGTTTTATCCTGCAAACTCTAACATAGATAGGTCAAAATCTTACCTACATCAACTTTAAGGTTGCCTTGTTAGAGAGAACGACTAGAATAGATTTCTCTTTTTGACCATAAAACATTTTATCCGCATTGTCAATGATCACATCTGAACAAGTGATTCTTCGGAGGTTAATTCATGTCTCACAATAACACATAAAAGAACAATACATGAAATCTACCTCAATGTTATTGCTATTGTACACTACACTTCAGATATAATAAAAACATGTGTAGTTACTTGCTCAAAATATGTAATATAGCATTAAAACACAAGAGTCACTCATTGGGGCGTTTTATCAAATAGTTGGTGTTCACCACAAAGTATCCCTAAACAGGCGGTTATTAATTATTCAAAGATTACAAGGTTGTTGTCTTATATAGTAACAAAGCAACCAAAAATAACAAGCAGTAGCCCGAGTTGTAGGAGCATAGAGAAATAAAACATCAATTGTTTTTAGAAGATTCAAAAGATTTACAAACAGCGTAATTCAGAAAAAAAAAAAAAAAAAAAAAGTATTTACTGATGACTATACTAAGATTTGATTACTCACCTGTATATATAAATGCCTTGTGGTGAGATTCTTGAGGGCTTCAACGACCCTTGTAGGATCGAGAGTAACCAAGTCGCATGGTTGTGTTGCCATACCGGGAATCCATAGCCAAGCTGGGTGAAGGAGTAAGACGATTTAATAAGATAACTCTAAAATCGGAGATAGAAACCTCAATTGCCTTTTAGGTTTTGGAAACGTGAATTCAAGGAGAGGAGGAAACCTTGTTGGGCTTAAAATCCCTAGTTCTTCGTCATAGAGCCCTCAACCGTAATGATTTTGTAAGGTCTATTTTTGGGAGCAAAAAACCCTCAATCTCAATAGTCTTTTTCTGCCTTAAGATTTGACGAAGGTGAAAGCTAAAATCCAACATCTCCATTCCATACGATTTCAACTCTTTGTAATAGCCTATTCGGTTGTTCTATTATGTCTCGTACCCGTCGATCACCACCAAAAACCCTAGCACGTACTAAGGCGATAGAAAAATGAGAGAATCGGAATTTTAGAAGAAAATAAAAGACCTCCCGCTACCTACTAAGAAGGAAGACACATGTTAGGGTTCTTCATTGTGTGTTGTTTTGATTTATCTATGGGAAATCAGAAACAAACGAGAATCAAGCTTTGCATTCACACTTCATAGCAATAACTCATGGAATTCACATAGCTTTGTTAAGCCAAACCATGGAAAAGAGAAAAGTAGAAACGAAGGAGGATGAGAACAAAGCGGGGTTTTCTAATTTTTGTGGACTTCGTTCCCGCTTAGCTATTAAAGGTCGGAAAACGCGCGGTCCATTAAAATTTATAAAGCGACATCCTTAGACGACACCCATTTTATTATAGGTGCCCTCCGTGTTTTTTTTCTTTTTTTTATTTAGACGCTAATTTAAGGGCATGAAATAATGCGTGACATAAATCCTTCAATTTTTGAAGAGATGACACTTTCTTAATGTCACGCGCTTTTACGTAACATAAATCAAGGAGTGTCGTGGCTTGTGCATTGTAAAAGGGTCTTTTTCTTGTAGTGAATTAACCATTTTTTTAACAAATCAACACATGCAACAATACAATGATCCATGGCTACTTTATGAACATTATATATATATATATATATATATACACACTCAAAATTATGTAAAAAACTCTTTATTTTTCTAAAACAACTTTTGTGACAAAAAATGCATGTAAACTTTTGTCACCATAAAATAACAATTATAAAGTTGTTAAGGAAAATATGTATGGATTTTTCTTGCAAAAAGAATACCATCCATGTTTTCCAAAAACAAAGATTTCATCAACTTAACAAATAATTTAACTAATATTACAAAAATGCTTATGACAACAATTGTTGAGGTTTTATTCAAAAATTGTATCATAAACACAAAGATAGCAATGGATGCCATAATTTTGAAGAAAATAAAACTATTTTTATTCCCACCAAAAGATCATTTTGCAAAACTTAGAAAGATTAAAACAACCATAGAAATGAAAGAAAATCAACATTTGAAGACTTTGGTTCCTTTTGGCAATTATGAAATTGATGAAGATGGTTTTAAGCTCCAAAGTAGAAGCTCTCTAGAAGTATCCACCAAGTAAGATGAAACCACCATTAGATGCTAGTCAATCACTTTTGATTTGTTTTTCATATGTCTAAGAAATATATACCAAATAGATGTTCAAAGGTGTGACATCCCCATTTTCACGGCCAGAAAATATTGATTTTGTTTATGCTTTATAAAAATTAGAGTGTCTCTTTTAATAAAAATGTTGCGGAATTTGTTCCCAGTAAAACATGATAAATACGCTATTAAAACATTTCTGAAGAAAAGTATTTTTATTCGTTTTAAAACATTTGGGATGTCATCGTCAATACAGAAGCATAAATAGAACTTACATTCATTATCACTAGTGATTTATATCTCCTTAATCTCTTAGTGTAATGTAACTTCATATCAACACCTGTAATATAAATAAACTGAGTGGGTCAGGTTGGGAAACCTGGTGAGTACATAGGGTTTTCAACCCACAATAATATAATTATTATGTTTAAACGTCAAACAATCAACCAATTACACATCTCCATTATCTTCTTTACTCTTAAGGATCTACCCTAAGAATCAACTATTCCTCGTTCATTTATTCCTAAGGATCATCCTAAGGAATCGGCACGAAGTCTACCGTTGCCACAGTTTACCCAATAGGCACTAAGTTTGGATAGTCGCCAAGAATTAGGCACCAAGTCTGCATGGTCACTGGGGTTTAGGCATCAAGTCTGCATGATCGCCAAGGTTTAGGCACTAAGTCTGCATAGTCACCAGGGTTCAGACCTCAAGTCTGCATGATCGCCAAGGTTTAGGCACTAAGTCTGCATAGTCACCAAGGTTCAGGCCTCAAGTCTGCATGATCGCCAAGGTTTAGGCACTAAGTCTGCATAGTCACCAGGGTTTAGGCATCAAGTCTGCATGATCGCCAAGGTTTAGAGTACACCGGGTGAACACATCGTTCACAACACCTACAGGTTGCGAGCCTGCTAGTGTTCCACTGGACTGTCTAGAATAGTCCGTGGTTGTCATCCATACTCTTCTAGATGACGTGGCCACCATTTGGGAACAAGACTTCTCACATCGTCCACTTCTCACACTTACCTCATGGTCTATATCACCTCTCAACTCATCATCCAACTTATATTTCATTTACCCATGTTTTACCCAACATATTATGTAGATATAAATACATATACAGTTAAATCATATAAAACTTGTATAAATTCGTTCATCTGGCATAGATAGCAATTATACAGATAATATGCATACATAGCACGTAGTTTATATAAAATACTTCATATCTATGTGTAAGATGAAAGAGACCATGCACTCACTTAATAAGGTGGTGACTCGATACTCGGACAACGCTTCGTTTACTTTAAAATAATTTCCTTCGACGAAACAAGGGGGTTTTAGCTAGGAGTCGGGCTCTGCAGGGGCAGAACTTCGTCGTTGAATCTTTCTAAGAAAAATTTGTGCAGCACTTCAGCGCTGTGACATCCCCATTTTCACGGCCAGAAAAAACCGATTTTGTTTATCTTTGTAAAAATCATAGTACTTCTTTTCATAAAAATGTTGCGGAATTTGTTGTCAGAAAAACACGATAAATACATTATCAAAACATTTTCGAAGAAACATATTTTATTCATTTTAAAACGTTTGGGATGTCATCGTCAATACAGAAACATAAGCATAAACGGAACTTACATTTATTTACATTAGTGATCTACATCCCTTTAATCTCTTAGTGTAATGTGACTTCATATCAACACATGTGATATAAATAAATTGAGTGGGTCAGGTTGGGAAACCTGGTGAGTACATAGGGTTTTCAACCCACAATAATATAATTATTATGTTTAAACAATCAAACAATCAACCCAATTACTCATTCCTATTATCTTCTTTACTCTTAAGGATCTATCATAAGAGTCCTCTATCCTGCATTCGTTTATTCTGAAGTCACTTGTTTCCAGGGTTATAGGACTGACACTAAATTCATAGCTGCTAATGCTCGTTCGTAAAGCATAAATTCCATCGGCTAATTCTCGATTGGTCTTAAATTTAACAGTAAGAGGTGATTATATTGTTAAAATGCTCGCGTAAAAATCATAACTTCTACATACGGACTCCGTTTTCGTCTGTCTTTTTACCGTTGAGTTCCTATTAATGAGATCTTTAACTCTCATTTAGGTCGCGTAGGCCAAAAACCGCTTGAACTAAAATTTGAGTTTCGGGTCGTACACTGCTATGCCAAATGTTAGAAAATTTATAACTTCCTCATACGAAGTCAGATTTGGGCGTTCTTTTTATGGACGCTCTCAGTTTAACATATTCTACGACTTTATTTTAGATTAATAAGGCTAAAAGTCCTCTATCGTAAATTCACTATTTACGTCTCCGGGTGTCGTGCTGGTTTTTGCCGAAAAACTTCGACGGACCATAACTTCTTCGTTATAACTCGGATTTCGGAGTTCTTTATAGGTATGGAACCCTTGAGACGTATTCTACAACTTGGTTAATATTATTTATTCTAAATAATCTTTTGTCGAAAAGTCATTTTCGACCCCTATTATCTCTAAATTGATTAGTTCGGATCTACGGGCGTTACAAAAGGTGAAACAAAAAATGATCTTTATTCCAAGCTTCATTTGCAAGAAAGGAAGAATGGAGAAGGGCTTGCTACTTTGAAATTTGGCAGCCCTCTAAAAAGCATATTTCTCTCGGCCTTGTGCTCCAAAAGAGAAAGAAACATGTGAGACTATAACCAACTTATACCTCTCATGCATATATTTATCACCTATACATATATTTATCACCTAGACAAAAAAAATAGGTGACAAAAAAGCAAAAGCAAAAGTGTCTCTTACAAGTACGAAGAGATGAATAAAATAAGAAAAAATAATCCTTGACCTATCCGTCATGAAATCGGCAATCATGGAGAAATAAGATAAAAATCAATTACTATTTACTTTAGTATAACTAGTTAGTTAAAGTGAAACTAAATTGGTTACTTAAAGTGACTAAAACGTTATACGCAACATTAATAATCATATTATATGATATATATGTATTATGCAACTAATTTTGTTCTCTTTATTATTATTATTTTTTAGAAATAATAATTCATAACGTGTTGGTAAAAATATTATTTTCCAAAATAATATTTTTCCAATTAAATAAAAATGTTAATATATTTATTAATAATGAGATTATAATAATAATTAATCAATTGATGATAATTTACTATAAGGCGTAACCCTATAAAATGATATGTTATTAATAATATCATTCTATAACAATTATTGGGCATACATGATCTTTCAGATGAGTTTTTGGTGTTTTATGTTTTTGGATGACTGTTGAACAAGTTGCAGTTTTCATTGTCTATTTTGATATCAACTTTAAGATTATGAAAACATGCCTTCTAAAATTGACAAGTTCTACATAATTTAAGGGCTATATTGTTATTCCACCAAACCATGTCTAAATTGGGTCTATCAGGTCTAATTTAGACTGCATGTCTAATTTGGTCATATCACATCTAAAAAGGGCTCCTTGTTTGAAATAGGTGTATCATGTTTAAAACTGGTTTCTTTCTAAAAATACAAATGTTTTATTCTTAAAGGGCCAAATTTGCCAAATTAGCAAAATCTTTGCCCTTTTAGCCTCAATTCAAATTCAATGCAAGTTTTAGAGATAGAGGTTTTAAATCCATGTTTTGAAAACCGGACCGGACCGGCCGGTTCGACCGGTTCAACCGGGAACCGGCCCCGAATCCGGTTCTTAAATACCAAAAAACCGGTATTCATTTGAACCGGTGAAAACTAGTAAAAACCAGTTGAACCGGTACAAACCGGTCAAAACCGAAAATTTAAAAAAAAAATTATTTTTTTTATTTTTTGTATTTTTTATATAATTAAATATAATTATGACATCATCCGGTTTTCCCGATTTTTGAGACCGGTCTGACCGGTTGGACCATCTGAACCAGTGTTATCGATGGCGATAGCGAGGTCATAGCGACAAGTTACCTATAAGCTATGTAGCGATAGCGATGAAATAGCGACGACTATTTCATTTTTAGAGAATACCTTTTAAAAAATTTATACTACTTTTACCTTTACCTAATTAGTAGTTATAACTAATAAATAAGCTAAAACCCCAAGACTATAACTCAAATAAGTTCTAAAACATGCATACCAACAAAAAAAAAAAATAATAATAAGTGTTAATCTTAGACTCTAAAGTACGATTCACAAATCATCCAACTCGGGCTCATCATCAACTTCTTCTTCCACAACTTCTTTATAAGCTCCAACATCATTTTCCTCTTCATCTTCGTCTATTAACTGTTGTCCTCTAGATCGCGAGCTAGACTCAACACCCTCTTTCCTCCTACTCGTTCTTCTTGTAGCATAAGGCTCCTCATCCACCCCCATAGCCTCCGCAACTACACCCCACGTCAAGTTATCACCTTCAAACACAAAAGCATCTTCTTCCCCCTCCAACCAATCATTCGGATCTTGAACGGTAGAGTCGTCTAAGATGATCGGGTCAATCGTATCACGCATATCATACCTCCTTCTTAAAGCTCGATTATATTTTATGTAAACTAAATCATTTAGTTTTTGCCATTCAAGTCGGTTTCTTTTTTTGGAATGGAGCTACAAAAATAAAAAATAAACATTAGTAAGTATTATTAAAAGAAATATATTTATATATTTCTAATTATTTTAAAAATAATGAGCTACTTACTTGTTCAAATACGCTCCAGTTACGTTCACACCCCGATGAACTACACGTAAGACTTAACACCTTAATGGCAAACTTTTTAAGTGTCGGTGCCGACGATCCATATTGCATCCACCACTCCGCTGGTGAAAGCATTGGTCTCATTTTTTTAGCCATCGGAATCCCAAAAAGTCCTTGGGCACCTCTATATGTAGGGAGCTCGGTGTGAATCTTCAACTCCTCCTCTTCCGACAATGACAACTTATGTATGCATGCCATCAACCCCTTAATCACCTCACTGTCATCTTCCACGTTCGGGTTATTGTAATATAATCCCGGATTCAAATAGTGGCCGGCCGCATGCAAATCTTGGTGTAGTTGACAATTCCACCTTTTGTCAATTATTTCAAAATTTTGTTTATACTTGTCTTTTTTGTTGTTGAAAGACGATGCAATCCTTTCTTTTGCTCTATCCATGGCTTCATAAATGTATCCCATTGGAGGCTTTTTTTCACTATCTACCAATCGAAGCACCGTTAATAAAGGCTCACCAACTTTGACCGCAATATCTATATTGGTCCAAAAATTAGGAGAAAATATAGTGTTTGCCGTTTGAGCTCCTCCCCCTCCCGCTTCGCCCGGGAACTTGCTTTTGTTCCATGCTTCAGATGTGAACATCTTCTTCAAATTTTTCTTGTGATTTCTAAAACAATTCAAAGTTATGAAGGCGGTAGCAAACCGGGTCTTTGCGGGCCTAACCATATCTCTTTGGCCCGTGAATTCTCTCATCATATTCAAAAGTAAGGTGCGGTTGTAGATGTAACTATTGACTGCAATTGATTTATCGAGTGTCTTTTTAAGATGGAGCATTTTAAAGATGTCCTCAAGCATCAAATCGATGCAATGCGCCGCACACGGAGTCCAATATATATGTGGATATTTTTCTTCCACAAGTCGACCGGCTAAAACATTGTTGCTAGCACTATCGGTTACAATCTGAACCACATCTTCCGGACCCGTTTTTTTTTATGAAGTGATCAAATAATTTGAATAAGTATTCACTTGTTAATTAGAAACATGAAAAAACAGCATTAAAAACAATAAAAGCAGCATATAAAACAGAAAAAACAAAAAAACAAAAAAAAAAAAAAAAAAAAAAACAGGAATAAAAAAGGAAAAAAATAGCATATAAAACAGAAAAAAAAACAGCATAAAAAAGGAACAAAAAAATACCATACCTATATGAGAACAAGCAGAAGCATCTACCGATTCTATAAACATACTTCCTCATGGAGTATTTACTAGGAAGTTAATAAGTGATCTTCCTTTTCGGTCCCTCCAACCATCCGCCATCAAAGAGCATCCGTATGACTTCTTCTCTGCCTCATTTAATGTCAATAGTTTTTTTGTGTGCTCCATCTCCAGCTTCAACATAGGAACACGTACTTCATGATAGCTAGGGGGTTTCATACCACAACCATGTACAACAACCGCTTCAAGTGCGTGCCCAAAACTATCACATTTCACTGCATTGAATGGAATACCAGCATCATACATCCAACGACATATCTTTTGAACCGCATCAAGTCTTAACTTTTTGTGGACTTCTTTATGTTCAGAGGTTCCAACCAAGTACCCCTTTCTCTTCCCTGTTTTCTCAGATGGCGGGTACATCACATCCAAAGGCCCTTTCGTGGGGTTCTTTGTGTTTATAGTTGAGCCACTGGACGACATGGGCCTCTTGCTTTTCGAATGGAAAAAGTCACTATTAGTCGTATCTTTTTCATCTTCATCGTCTAAATCAACAATGGCATCGTCAAAGTGAGGTATTTTGTTCAACTCTTCTTTATGTTGTTTCCTTTTCTGAAATTCATCTTTAAAACGTTTCTGCACTTCGACTGGAACTTTGGTACATTTTTTTACTGAGGGGGAATCACCAACAAGGTGATGCTTGTGTCTTGTAATCCCACCCTTGGAAAGGAAATTACAGAAATCACATACCACCCAAGCATTACCCTTTCCTTCAACTGGTTTCCCATAACCCCATCCCGGATCATTACTAGCCATATCTATTTCACAAACAAATCATATATAAGCATGAAGTATATGAATTAAGTTACAGATTATAGATTAACAGCCATATCTATTTCACAAACAAATTACCGATTAACAGCCATAACTGAATAAATGCATAACAGATTTACAACCATAACTGATTAAATACATATATATATATATATATATATATATATATATATATATATATATATATATATATATATATATATATATATATATAACAGATGTTACAGATTAACAGCCATAACTGAATAAATGCCTAACTGTTACACATTTGAGGTATACATTTACAACAAAACAAAGAAAGAAAACAGAGCATAAAAATAATCTGTAAAAAACACAAAAAAATCACCTGTAAAGCTGAGATGAAGAGAAGAGTTGGTGCAGGACTGCAAGTCAGTTGTCGGAAGTGAGGAGTACTTTGATTGCAGGAGAAATCGTAGGAAGAAAGGAAGGAGTTGGCGACGGAAGCGAGAGAGAAGCGAGAGAGAAGCGAGTGAGAGGCTGAGAGCGTACGAGCCTTATTTGACTTGGTCAACTAAAAAAACCCTAAAACGAGTCTATATATACCATTAAAAAAAAAAAAAAAAAAAAGAAAACTGAGAAATGTCGCTACGTCGCTATGCAATCGCTATTTGACCCATAGCGACACTTGGTCGCCTCGCCTCGCTAAACGCAATAGCGGTCGCTATGATCGCTATTGATAACACTGATCTGAACCATCGAACCGGTAAGACGACCGGTTCGGTCTCCGGTCCGGTTTTCAAAACATTGTTTTAAATACAATTTCTTAAGCTATCGTGTTTTTCTTCTCTTTTTAAAGCAACACTTTTAGGGTTTTTTCTTTTGACCACCAAATCACCATTTTAACTCATTTTGATCAAGGTATGTAAGCTCTGCAATATTAGTGGATTGGTTCATGGTTTCCTTCGTCCGTGTTTTTTTTCTCGATTTGGGTTTTCCACATAAATCTCTGTTTCTTTGATTTACTGTTTTGGTTGGTATTTTCATTGCACTTGGTTGATTGTTATTTGATATATCATATTCTATTTGAACTAATATTGTTCTTACAAACCCCATATTAAGATCGTAAGATCATAGAGTGATAATAATTTTGACATATACAAGTTTTTAAAGAAAATAATTTATTAAAAATAAAATGAACATTTGATCCAATATATTATATTACACCGATAGATAGATATATAAGATAAGATGCAGATAATTTTACGGATTAAAGCAATGACATAATCACTTTACACTAATTTCTACCGAAAAGAGAGCTTTAGCTTGAAACTTTATCAAAAGACAATTATTTAAAACTTATAATATAAAATTATTGAGTTATCTGAAAATGACTGTACAAAAATGAGAAAATTAATTGAAGAGCGAATTGGGCATTCCATTATTGAGCTAAAAACAAAGTTGTTTCCCTTTTCAGGAAACAAACATGTCCAATTGGAAAAATGATTGGGTTGGCGGACCTAACAATAAAATATAAAGTATAAAGTATAAACTTATTTTCATTTATTTTTAAGTCGGATTTGGTTTGGTTAAAGTGAATTAGGATTTATTATTATTATTATTATTATTAAATCAAATCAATTAATCAACCATACATATGAATTTCGGATTATCCACTTTAGCATATTAGAAATCAAATTTGATATAGGATTTAAATTCTCCAACCAAGAAAACCTAACAATCTAATGACTTTTAATACAACGGTATTCGATGTTGAGCTACTTCCTTGGTGTTGCGCTACTTCTTTGAAGTTTGAAGGTTCAAGTTCTATCGTAAACATAGATGAAATTAAATTTTTTTTAAAATATATATATATATATATATATATATATATATATATATATATATATATATATATATATATATATATATATATATATATATATATATTGAACCGCCTAATTTATTGATAATTTTAAATTATTTGTTATATTATGAAGCGAGAGGTTTCCTATGTGATATTATTCATTATCGCGTGTTGTTAATTTATGTTGAAAATGTCTCAACATTTTATAAAATAGTGTATACAACATATAATTTATTGATAATTTTAAATTATTTGTTATTTTATGACGCGAAAGGTTTCCTATGTGATATTATTCATTATCGTGTGATTAATTTATGTTAAAAATGTCTCAATATTTTATAAAATATTGTGTAGAACATATAATTTCCCGTGAGAGATTTCCCCTGAGTTTTAGAGTTGTTATTATCAAATAAATTTTTTTTGGTTAAAAGAAGTTTTATTTCTCAAGCTAAAAGTGAATTGTTTTGGTTGGTGTGACACCCTTTGTGGTTTGCTTTAGGCTTCTTCATTAATTTGATATATCATAATGGTCGAATTTACCCATGTAGAGTTTTTTGTCGGGTTTTATCTTGGAGTTGCTCTGATATACGTGTTGGTGCCCCTTGAGAGTTAACTAGTGTACTTGTTGATTTCTTTTCATTTTTGTTCTCTTTTGAGTTTGTTGTTGCTCGTAATTTTTTGTTATACTTTTGTTTCAGGGATTACATTTTATTTTCTTTATATAGTTTTCTTTCCTTTAGAGTAAATTACACGAATGGTCCCTATGGTTCAGGGTAATTTACACGTTTGATCCCTAACTTATTTTTTTAACTCGGAAGGTCCCTATTATTTGATTTTATTACATGTTTGGTCCCTACTGTTTGTTTTTCTTACGCACTTGGTCCTTATCTTACCTAAAAATATTATTATTTAAATAAGAAAAAATGATGGGGTATGTAAGGTAAGGTGAAGGGGGTGAGGTTGGGAGTGTGTTTATCTAAATAAATTAAAAAATCAAGGGCAAAATAGTCTTTTTAGCTAAGATAGGGACCAAAAGCGTAACAAAAACAAACAATAGGGACCTTCCGAGTTAAAAAAATAAGTTAGGGACCAAACACGCAAATTACCCAAAACCATAGGGACCATTCGTGTAATTTACTCTTTCCTTTATATGGTTTTCTTTGCCGTTTAGAAAAAACAAAACTTTTTGAGCATTTTTAACAAATTAAAATGAATCGAATTAAAGTAGAAACTTTTTATTAACGATATATCTCATTTAAATAATTGAGATATTGTATTATATTGGAGTCAGTTATAGTGATCCTCTTACTGTGAAAAAATATGCTAGACGCGCTTAATTAGGGGAAATGTTTGAATTAGATTGTGTTACTTTGAATTCATCGAAGGCGCCCGGCATGCAGAATGACATATTGACCCTTGATAGCCCAGAAAATAGCAAAGAATCAACCCGAGATATAACATACCCAACCCAAGCAGAATCCAATGCAATACAAGTTCCGGATAACAACCTAGAAGAAAACAGAAGATGAATACCCGCAAAACATCTGAAGGAATCATGACCTCCTCCTCCCGAGTTACCCTGACCATCCTGAGGACATGGTACAAAACTCCCTTACGATCCCAAATGACAAGAACTAACAATAAGATCCTCCAAGCCTTGGGCTCCTGATGAGCCCCCAACTGCCCTACCACAATCCCGGCCCGAAAGGCCCCGAGATGACCATCAAAGAGCTCGAAAATCCCTTCCTTAGATAAACCCAAGACCATCGAGGTCGACTCCAAAATATCGTGGGTAATCTCCAATAAGATAAACTATCGCGTCCGCGTATCGATCGGCTCAGTACCTGCCACTGAACCGGAACCAGAACACCATACCGAAGCAACACTCAACAGACCTGAATATCCGAAAAAATCCTCATCCTCCAGGATTCCTAGATTCTTCAAGACTCTCCCCGATTCAAGTATGGATCATATGCTTTTAGTAGTACAAGCCCAAATACTACCTTTCACACCTATCTATACTTTCCTCAATATTCCTCCTGAATCCTCTAAGTCACCTTCTCAAATCCAACCACCAACACTTGCTAACCCACGCAACATAATCCACTAAAGTAATCCTTAAGCCTTACTAGGTTCCCGATCTCACACTGTCATCAGCTGCTGAAGGACTCCCATAATGCCAGTCACCCACCATATGGATACAATCACATGCAACAAAGTTTAGATAAGCCTTCGAGTAACAAAATCATCCCTACAACGGTTGGACTTAGACAAGAGCTAGGTAATAGGGTCAAAGTCATCACTATGAGATTATCCAACCGTTGTCACATGTGGCTTGACATATTTACTTAGTAGCTGACTCCCACCACTTAAGAGTTCCACAAAGCACAAAGCAAGCAACATTCGAGCAGTAGCACTCCAATTCCAAATACTAAAACTCACATTGGGAGCCCCCACCCCTGTTACTAATTACCTTACGCATACCAACTATACCCAACCTAGCATCCGATGCTTCCTAAGCTACAAGGCATCACATAACAGGCCAACCTGTCACTGGTTAACTAAAACTACCATGCAAGTCTATAAGCTCGTACAATAGCCATACAAGGCATCTCTCCTAGCATTCTATCATGCAAAAACTGAGCAGATCCTTAGCCCTAACTAGCATTTGATTCACAGATTCATAAATCAAATCGTAACAGATAACGTGTATGGGTATTCTGGGAAAACTTACTTGAGTTCGATCGATTGCATGCACCACACCCTTTTCTTGTCTTAGAAAAACTCTTTTTCCTAATTATATTTCTCTTTGAAAAACTTTACCAAATCCTCAGTTTGAGTTCAGACACACCCGAGAGTGTGCCCGAATCCCTCAAACCAAGGCTCTGATACCAATTTGTAACGTCCCAAAAATAATGACATAAAATTTCCATTTTTAGATTAATAAATCATTAATACATAACATTTACACAAAATTAAGGTAATCAAGATTCATCAAAACATCATCAATCAGAGTAAATCACAGAATGCGGAAACATGTGGTGTGTGCTCTACAATCATCCCGAGCTCATCCATTTTGAAAACCGAAGTACCTGAAACATAAAGTGAAACTCGTAAGCATATATCTTAGTGAGTTCCCCAAGATACCACATACGATAAAAAAAATAAAACACATATCTGTGCAATCACTTTGGTCTGTGCCGCGGAGATAGTGTTTGTTTTTTGGAAGTGTTCAGATCAAAAAACGACTGCGTGAGATCTTTTTGGCACAGACATAAGTCACTATCTTCAAAGGTCTTCACACCTCAAATGAATTTAAGTTTGAAAAACCAGTTTATTTCAATATTTGCAAACGTTAAAAAACAAACAGACTTCTTATTGCAGACTGCAGACATTTGATCAATCTCTTATGCTGCAGAGGCTTGCAGATATGGTCCGCAGACTACAGAAATTTTACCTTCAGAAAAACAAAGAGCACCTAAGACTTCAACTTTCGACTTGGGTGAAATAATATGTTGGACTTTGAATTGTTGATTTATTGGGCTCACCTCTTTTGGGCTTTCATTTATTCATTAAAGATTTATATCATTGAATTCATTTTCTTTGATTTATTATTGTTTAGGCAGAGTGTCGTTCATCTTCTCTATCAATTAGGGTTGTAAACGCACCAAATCAACATAAATAAGGTCTTATTCATGTTCGTTCGTTTAAGTTAGCCGAACAAATGAACGACACAAACGAGTTTTCTTGTTCATGTTCGTTCGTTTAACAAATTACTTTGTTTATGTTCATGAACATGTTAAACGAACATAAACGAACGAACATGAACGGACAAAGATAAACAAACAAAATTTAACATATATAAATATAAACAAACATATAATATAATAATGTAATACAAAACAATTGAACATATATGAACATAAATAAACTTAAACGAACGAATATAAATAAACTTAAACGAACAACATAAATGAATGTTCACGAACATAAATGAAGGAACAAGACTTTTGTTCATGTTTGTTCGTTTAACCAAACGAACATGAATTTGTATTCATGTTCGTCCATTTATTAAATAAACAAACATAAACGAATTTTCCGTTGGACAATTCACGAAAGGTTCACTGAACGTTTAGTTTGTTTAGAGCCGTGCTCTCAATATTTCTTTGTCTTTGTCTTACGGATGTAGCTTTGTGAATGAAAATTTGCATATATAAGTAAGGATTAAACTATAATATAAGTAATAAAATTACAACAAAAATAAAAATGCGTGCTACAATACATTAGTTAATGGATTGGAAATGAATATTACACAATCCCCCAAACTTACTATTTTATTGCCCTCCTAGGCTCCTAATGAAAACAAATTAAAGAAAAGGTACATTACGAAAGCAATAAATAAAATAAATTGCAGCATTTTTCTCATCTAAAATAAACAAGGGATTCTATTTTACAGATAATAATAATAATAAGATTATTCTTAAAATTTATCATGAAAGTATTGAATTTGTCATCATTTGGTTATTGAATATCAAAATGAACTAAATTTAATCGTAACGTTTTTGTCAAATCTAATCATTCGCGCAAGTTTAATTCGGTTTCCCAGTTGGAACTTGCCACGTGGCTCCATGTGGCATGACATGGCGTCCTAGGTGGTCCAAAGTAAATGGAGTCCTAGGTGGTCTAAAGTAAATGGAATAATGTCGTTTGGATTCAAAATCACTGCCAACTCTTCTTTCTTTGGTTCAAATTCACGATCAACTTCTCCGCTCCCTTTCCCTCTTATCGTATTTAAAAATCTAGATTGTAGTTGTTGATAATGTCATCATCTTCTAATCAAGGTTCAATAATCTCTTATGGAACGAAATGTACATTGTGGTGTGGCTTTAAAGAATTTTTTTTTTTTTAAACATTATCACGAATCAGTTAAATTGCCTGTGGGCCATACTGTCAACGTTTTTATATAAATTTCACCACATAATCAACGTAATCAACATGCATTTTGTGTTTATTTGCTTTTTTTTCAATCCCCAAAGAAAAATAAATTATAAAAAAGCACACAACACTTGAGTATAGAAACATAAACAATAAGCACTGCCCCTTCCCTAGCACATGAACACAAACAATGGTCCCAAAATCAAAGAAATCCCAACCACCACCATGTTTGCGTTACTGGGTGGACCAGCAAGATGAGTGGGGTTTGAAGTAGTTGATGGTGTAGATGGAGTGGTTGATGACGGAGGTGAGGAGTTGTCGCCACTAGTAGGTGTGGTGGTGCTTTTAGAAACCACGTTGATAGCAAGTTTCATCCCTGAACTGCAGTGGCCAAAAGATGGACAAGCGAAGTACATTGGACCTGGTTGTGTTAGGTTAATGGTGGTTGTGCCACCACTGTAGGAGCTGATGGAGTTGCTTGTGACACAGTTGTCGTAATCAGATTTAGATACAATGTCCACTCCATGGCTGCCACCATAGTTGAACACTATCCATGGAAAATAATTCGAAAGGCTTAGTTGTTGCCCAACGGAACATATCATTTCGCTAATTTGGTACAACTTTTGTAAATTATTATATAAATCATCCAATTATAAAAAATAAAAAAAAAAATAAAAAAAAACTATCATAAAAACTATTCAAAGTATCTTATATGTTATAGCTGTTCTATATATAATTACCTAACATGAACAATTTTAGAAAGTTTAGTGGTTTTGTCAATTAAGATTAAGTGACCATATTAAAAATCAAGTAAAAGCACATTACAATCGAATCTATAGGATATGAACTTGGGGCTCACTTCCTTTTGAAGTGTGATACCCAAACTTGCACTTAACATCACACTTATGGATTCCAATCTCCTTACAGATTGATAAACGTGTTGAGATATATTTTGCACTTAGCTTGTTTTACTTTCAGATAAGATTTTTTTATAGGAAAGAAACGTTATGTAGTTACAGAACTTACAAAGTGTGTCTCCGACATTGAACGTCTTACTATCAGCCCACGTAGTATAATCTCCGAAGTTTGTCCAGCCGCTACTATCACCAACGATGTGTTGCACTGCAAAGACTGATGGTGAGGCCATGGCTAAAATTGAAACAAGAAATACTACAACCATTGGCATAGTTTGGGTTTTATTTGTAAAATTGTTTTATGGGAGTGTTGTTCTGGTGACAAAAGTGGGGAAGAATTGGTGCATTTTATACACACAAATGAAACATGGATATAGTTTTAAAAATCTTGGATATAAATTAATAGAATTGGTTATGTGGCAGATGGAATATTTGACTATCTCGTGCATACTTGCTACTAACTCTTACCTAATGTTTTAAGAACTCCAACCCACTACCTCACCCCACATAAACCTATGCCTCAAAATGTATTTATTTTAAGTGTTTTATATATAGTTTTTAGTCACCATTTATTATTTTTTAAAGTAAGAATGTGATGTTTAAAAGGTAGAGACCTGAATGACCGATGTTATGAAGAACAATATTTGTTATTTGTATTAATACACTATGAAAATATTAATCGAAGTCTGAGTAGTTTACAAATTACAACAAATGCATTGATTTAATAGGAGAAGTTCGTAACCCTAAAG